ATTTGCACCAAGCCAACCATCTAGAAAGGCATGATTCAAAGACTAATGGGTGTTGGAGACAACCGCTGAAGTTTAATTTCCTCCTCTTCCCTGTAATTTGCTTTTGTCTGATCTTCACTCCCAGGGTCTGACTTCTTGGCTGACTCTGACTTGAAACTTGTTCATCTGAATATGGCCCAACATGATCTTGGCCTCGGCCCTGTAACTGCATGCTCAATGCTCTCCCTCCTCTGCAAGTGCCGGCCAGCCCGGCAGTGGGGCCCCAAGAAATCTAGGAATGCAAGAAGGCAGGGTTACTGCAGTGAAAACAACATCCCTTGTGCCTGAATCTGGAACACAATAGGTGCTCAATAAAGGTACTGATGGACTGAGAATCAGGATCTGCAATGGTAAGCTTAGGAATGAAAGGGGCAAGCCAGACAACGAACAGGGTGATCGGAAGCCAAGGTAAGACGGTGAAATGGACCAGCAGGCTGGCAATGGAAAGCAGATCGAGCCAGAGGTGCCTCTGAGTCTGGCAGGGCACTACGCCACTCTGGCTGATTTATTTGTTTATATCCTTTCTTATTCCACAAAGAATCCGAAAAGCTAAGTGAAAATAGTTTACAGCTTGTAAATGTAGAGCATCCTATCATTCTTTTCCGAACCAAGTCTAACAGGAAGTTGTCTAGGACAAGAAAACCTTTGTGCACCAAATTGGACATTTTCTTTTCGTGGCTGCAATTTGGTAGGAGGCTAAAAACACAGGAGTACTTTTTCAACCTGTAAGCCTGAGTCCGTTTATTTATAAACCATCTCTACACACAGGGAAGGACTTTGAATGTAGAAAGTTATCTACACACACATCCACAACGTTATTGAATGAACGGCAGGAGCACCTTTGTTCTAACTGGTTTGCTTTGTTCACGTGTTTCGCTGTCTGCTATCACTCTGAGGTAGGCAAGCGGCAGTTGGAATTACCATTTCAAATTTAGAAAGTAAGACTGGAAACTTGAATTCCAGTTGGCATTAGGGAAAGATAACCATCATACTGTTCTGAGACAGGACACCCCAAACTAGCTCAGATAGGCAGATATTTAAAATACAGTTGAATCAAAAAATCCCTATTGTAATTTCTCCCTTCTTCCTTATTGGCTATTGAGAATTAACTTTTCAATGTATCCTTACCTGTTTTCAAAGCATCTCAGCATGGGGGCAGCTGGACAATATTCCAAGTCCTCCTCCACCTTTTGGGTTAACTTATAATTAACAGTAACTTCTATTGAACATTGTTAGGGGCTTGATGGTTATCTTATTTGATCCTCTTAACAGACCTATTAAGTATTATTTTCATTTTGCACATGAGAAAGAGGGTGCAGAAAGGTTAATTTGTCCAAGGTTGTAAGGAGCCAAGCCACACCCCTCTGCCTCCCTATTGGTGCTGTCAGGAGGCTTTGCTCTTCCTGGGGTGATGGACCCTCTGCATAGTGAGTAGGCCTTGGCACCCCAATGGCCAACTACAGGATGCAGCTGTATCAGCACCTCTTACCTCTCTCCTGGTGATGTACTTTTTGGCCCCTCTAGGCTGTTGTGCTATAGCCATGGTCCAGCCTTGGGCTCATCCCTTGATTTCCTCTTTCCCCAGCACCCTCTTGGATACTGATAGGCAATGCTTGCTCCTCACGTTTTGCTCAGACATCACTGCAGGGAAACTTTTTCTGAGCATTCCTCACTATCTTTGTCCTACCTGTGTACTTCCTTGCCCTTACTGCTCTCTAGTATGTGTAAACTCTAGGAGGGCAGGGATAGTTTGTCTTATTCTTGGTCTCTCTCTGGCACCTGGTACAAAGTCCACAATTATTTGTTCAATGAGTGGAAACTGAAACTACCAGATTACTAGCCATTGTTATCAGCAAATTAATGTCCAGAAATAGGAGGGCTGGATAAAAATGTACTTTTATGGAGACTATTGGTACAAATCTTTATAATTTATCACAGGTCATATGTACACATTTCAACCTAGCTGTAATTTCCTGTGGCTTTTTTCAGCTGCTTCAAAAATAAATTTTGAAGTTTAAACTTCCTTATCCAACCCAAATGTTATATTTACATATATCTAAAATGTTACATATACCATATATATATAATATATATAATATATATATGTACTTAATTCTACTAAAAATACAGGGAACAAAAAACTGTTATGTTTCCATTGAACAAAAATTTAAACATTGTTATGCAAAGGAATTAGTTAATTGGGGGGAAACAGAGCTATTCCTTCCTTAAAAACAAATTATGGTAAAATATTTTGTTTCTATGGAACATTTCAAACATAAAGTCATGTAAAATTTTGGTTGACCTTCACTAAGTAATGTACAATGATTTTTTCCTCTATTCATGAAAATTTGTAGCATTTATTAGTATTCTGAAATCTAGTAACTATATTAATTGGAACATTTTTTCTTTCAGGAAAAACTATCCTCACATTTAACATACTATTACCTTAGACAAAAACAAAGGTTTACAAGGTTTACCTCCCTCCCTTCTTAAACTCCTGGGCACTTGAGATTACTCTCAGGTACCCAAAAATACATTATTTCATTTCCAAGTGCTACCAAGAAGAACATGGCCTAAGGCCTATATACAAATTAGCAAATCTTAAAAGAACCAAAACACATCTTAAAAACCCTGCTACACAATTACAAGTTGGTTTTGTGTATCCAACAGATGTTACTGCCTGAGCAGTAAACAGTACTGATTCAGATGTACTTAATCAAGTATCACATTTCTCGTGTACTTGAAGTCTCTATACCCCTTTAAGTGTCTGAACTTTTAAATAAAAGTAGCAAACAAGCTATACTATTTCCTCCTGATTTCTTATCATTATGAACAGCACTGTGAACCACACTTTAGTATCACTTTTAGCATAACTTCAACTTGCCTACACCAATGACTTGATGTCAACAACCCCCGATAAAACAACGGTTTTTGTGGTGTGCTTTTGTGGTGTTCTTTGATTCAGTCTTGTTCAGGGTTATGTGGTTCCTAGGATTCCAAGAATCAAACTGGTTTTACTATATTAAAAAAAAAAAGTTAACTTTCTAATTGCATTATTCCTCCTTTTGTACAGTATCTGATGCTTCCAAATACAGATTTTTCAGGTAATTAAAATATATGTCTTCAGTTTTCACATACCTTTTGAAAAACTCCTTCTGGGTCTTGTTTGGCAGAGTAGCATACATTTAAATCCTTTAGCGTCTTCAGTCTGTGGGCCCATGGGCCCGTATCCTCTCCCTGTTGCCTGCCATCATCCCCCAGTTGCTCTCCTAATGTGGCCTGGAGCCTGAAAATCTGATTTAATGGAAATTGTTACAATAATGTAGACACTATGTCAACAAGGACCTTCATGAAATTCTCAGGGGTCTTCCCACAATGAAACACCAACAGCTTTTGCTTACAGACTTGTGGCGTCTCTGGGCATACCTTGCTTCTCAGGGTTTCTGTGATCTTAAATTACACTTTAATTAGTTTTCATTTTTAGCTCTTCCTACAACTTCTTAACATTAATTGTTTAAAAATATTTAAGTAAAAAAAGTCCCTAAATCAAATTTTAATTTCCAGAAATGTCTAGAGCAATGGCTACAAATTAACAATGAAATTTGCATTGGCATTCTTGGGCAGTCTGGTCAGAGAAATGGTGAGCAGATCTTAATACCAGGAAATATCAAGAGTTGCCAATACGTTTTCTAGTGAGAAACATTTACTGCCCAGTGTTCATGTGATAAGAAGGTTGACAGTTCAAAAAATTTATTGCTGCTTTACAGTATACATAATTAAATGAAGAAACATGTTAAACTCGAGGGAATTTTTATAGGTTACTTGCAATTATTATTGCAGGCAACAACTTGTACATGATTTTATTTCCAAATCCACAAAAAAAAAACCAAAACAAAACAAATTTTATACAAATCAGCACTGTAAAAATGTCAATTACAGCCCCAGAGGCTTTGCTGGCAGAATTATTGTCTAAATTCTAGGATATGGGAAACAGGATTTTTTCTGAATTCATCTTTTTTTTTCATTTTCTTTTTTTTACAAAAAAAATTTACAAGTGAAATGTTACTACAAAACTTTTTATAAGGAATTTTTGCAAAACATTTACATTTTACCACCAACTATTTCTGTTTTAAAACCATTATGCAGATTTAATACCCTATGCTGCCCATCGATTTCTGTGGGGTGACACCTTGGTGACATGCATAAAAACACCACGAGGCATTGAAATGAAGACTTAAATACAAATATTGTTGCAATAAAACAGTTATAAAATTGAAAAATAGGACCTAAACATCATGCTCACCTAAGTTTGACAAATTAACTTTTTCTCCTAGATTACACACTTTTATTACTGCTCTCATGAGTGTGATAAATAATGACTTAACATCAAGTTCTAATGTAATCAGCAACACATACACAAACCTAACCAAAGAAAGTATACTGTAAGAAAAAACTATTCTAACACTGGAGTTCTACCATGATAAATACATAGCTTTGCACTGATAATTACAATAAAGAAAAGTTTATAACAGTGGCAAAGGGAATGAACAGTGAAATGCCATTAAACAAGACTCTACTGCACATCTGTGCCCTAATACTTATAACAGCTATATCCCACTGAGTCAAATAAAGGACACTGAAATTTACGATTCTTATAAGACAGAAAAGTGGATTCAGAATGGTATGCAGAACAGACTGTCAAAATATTTCTCATTTCAGTGGTGAAATGTGCACCTGCTAACACAAATTAATATATTTTTATTTGCTATAAAGCTATCCAGATTCAGTTTGTTAAATTTATAATAGGCCTCATTGTTGATTAAAAAATAACTTCCATTTCTGAAGCGCATACACAGGTATGCACTAAAACTGGTTCATGGAATAATGGTGCAGAGAGCTCGTACTTGGTATTACCAACAACAAAAACTGTCACTCTCAGAAAACATGATTCAAACATTAAGAAAGTTTCTTTGCATAAAAAAATTTATAGCACTGATTGTGTAGCATAATGATAGATAAAATATATATTTGATGTTTCAGCTCCTATATAATAAAATTAAAATAACACTACCAAATGCTCCTCTGTACCAAACAAAACAAACAGATTCTGATGTTTTTAAAGCCAGATACATCAGTTATTAAGAGTACATTAAATAAAATATACAAAACAATTTACAAAATCCAACTAAAATTTAAAGACTTTGTTACAAGTCTACAAAAGCTTTAAGAAACTTGAAATTTATAACCACAGTGTAAAAATTTTTTTACCTTTAATCTCAAAGCTTTTTTATACAAACTGAAAGTACAAAAGACCTTCAGTTTTATATAACGCTACAAAGGGCTGGCCTAAAGTGTACACAGTGTAAACAGTGATCATTACAGTATTTCTCCTTCATCAAAAATACAAGAAATATCACGATTTTGGAAGAGAATTCTCATGAGTAGTACTTCTCCTGAAATAATAGAGAATGCACAAGAAAACGTACCTATATCCGAACAGTCCCCAAACTAAGGATGTTAATAAAATAACCCAAACAGTTAAAAACCTTTAGTTTTCAAATGGTCAATTCCAATTCCATTACAATCTGAGTAAATATATTTTTAAAATATGAAATATCTTACTAATATTTAAACTACTGATATAATCCAAACATTTTTTCATATTAAACTTTTGGCCATCTTTCCTATAAGACCCTTACATAAACAATGAAATACATTTTTTCTTTAATCACTTAACTAAAAATTATTCCAATTTTTAAAAAATAATTTTTGCTTCATAGTATTATACCTGTTACACATTTGTTAGGCTGTCTTCTTAGGAAAAACTCAGTTACTGGCATAAGCTAATGACATTACTGTGTTAGAAATTCTTAATCAGCCTTCTAACACAGTACTAGATATACAATGGGATTGGCTAAGTTTTAGTAGAGAGGAAAATGGAAATTATAGTGTAGTTACAAGGTAATTTTCTGCTGGCCTTAAAAAAGTGTGATAATTCTTTCTTTGGCTACCAAGTCAAAGCATAAAGAATTTTGCTTATTGTCAACATAACTTGTATTTACAGAATATGAAACTACAGATTGATTTATACTCTATGCAAATATTTCCAATATAAACATTTAAAATGAATTTTGTGGTACAACCCAAAGTTAGGAATTTAATCAGTCCTAACTTCAAAACCTTACATGTTAAGTTACCGCATTTTACTTTTTCTGAAGCTATTATGAGTTTTAACCATTCCCCCCACCCCCCATATTTTCCTAAGGTTTCGTTCTAAAATTTAACCTAATGTTTAGCTCTAAGTTCCACTTGTGTCTCCAAATGGAGAAAGTCATTCAACTTCACTGATTGTCTGCATACACACTACTATAATGTAGTGGTAATAAAGATCTGAGACACAGCTCAGATTACTTTTTTGGAACTTACCTAATTCAACTGCTGAAGAATTTCTAACATTTAGAAAAGACGGCCAAAACTATTTTCAGCTGATTTTCAAAAATCAAGCTAAGGAAATAAAGTATCATCCCTATTATCAGTTAACTATCTTGTTTTCTGTGCTGTAGGAAAAAAAAATCCATATAAATTATTACCGACTGAATTTATAACAAAGTATTTCAAAGAAAATAAGTCCAATTAAGGTCCAGCCTGCAAACTACTGAGGTCTGTCTTTCTAAACATGTTAACACATGATGCTGAGAGGGGAAGATTCAGTTTAAACATGTGACACATTTCCAAATAACTACAACTTATTGAATGGAGGAAATACTCTTCTATCTGTTTCCAGTACAATAGTTTGCTTCAAAATTTCAACATTTCACATGTTGACTTAAAACCTTGGAATACTTAAAGAAGCTGAGAATGAAAACATGATTTCCTACTCTGTAATCCACTTGACCAGCCCATTTCCAGATTTTCAAAGGTGTGTAAACTTAAGTGCAGCACTAGAGGTCTGTTATAAATAACTCTTCAGAATTCTTCCATGTTGGCTGAAACACTGGGAGTTGCTGGGTTTGAATCTTGAGAAATGGCTGCAACTGTGACAATTCTTGGGGAGCCAAGCACCTCTGTGACAGACGAGTCCAGTTCTCCCGAGGTAACAATGGCAAGAGCTGTCCCACCACCTTTCTTATTCTGGTGCGTTTTGACATGTTTGGAGAGATGATCACTCCGCATAAACCTTTTAGAACATTCTGGGCATTCAAATCTCTTTTCACCTAAACAGAAAAACAGTAAATAAGTGGTAATTAATTTTACTTAAATGAAATTTTAATTTTAAATAAATTCTCTTCTGGTCATACTATACTTTCATGTAACTTTAGACTAGTTGCAAAATAGTTTTTAAATTTTAAAATGCTGTCAAACAAGCAGTGCAGTACAGAAGAAACAGCATGTGACTAGGAATAAAAGACCCAAGTTAAAGTCCTGGTGTTGCTAAGAACTGGAAATAAAAGCTGAATCAAGTAAAATAAGCACTCTGGACTTCAGTTTCTCCATCTATGAAATATGACAATTTCTAACAGATGATGTCAAAAACCTCTTCCTGGTATAATAATATATAACGTTCAAGGTCCATGTCTACTCTTCTTTAAAAACTACTGTCTATGTTTTGGTTATAATGCCTAAAGGCATGAAAATATCTTAGAACTATTTCAAATAAAATCAGTTAATAATTAAATGTGTATTGAGTTTCCTTATGAGGCAAAAATGAGAGTCAGGCAAATACTAAATTTCAACCAACAGAGTTTTTAGGTCTCAAAGACTAAGACTGTCAGGTTCTGGTATACAAAGAGATCCTTAAAAATGTTCTTTTCAATTTGTGATAGTTCTACTAGAACTCTCTACTTATATATTATGGAATAAAAACTAACTAAATATTAACAAAAGAAAAAAGCTATTTCAATTTTGTGTTTAACAGATGGGGCACATAAAAAATCGGTGAATTGGGATATTGTGATGTTCACAACAGAGCAGCTACTATTTTCAGTCCTTCCTTCTAAAATTGTCACTTAAGGGCATGAAAGGTTTTCTCTGTCTGACGGTAGAACCTGGGTAATAAAGTTCAGTTCAGCTGACTTCTTCACTTGGCCCTATTATTGACTTACCAATAGAAAATCTATAGGTTCAACTTTGTCCATGTCACATATTTTCCCCTCTTCTATATGTATTTGCTTTAATTTTTTTTAAAAATTGCATTTGCAGTATCTCGTTGAACTTTTTTCTTTTTCAGTCTTGAAAAATTAAATAAAAGGATAAGTAAATGGTTTGTACAAAATTCTTAGACATTAAAAGTAAAAGCAGCTAAGCGCTAAGGTAAAGTGACTTCATTTATGAATGCTGACGCCTAGATGAGGATGAAAGGAACTTTAAGGGTTTAATTTCAGGATCAATTTTGAACTCCTTTACCTTTCAAGTTTCCCCCTTGCTTTCAAAAGAAAAATTCTCTTTACAAATTTTAAAGCTGAAAAGAATCTTAAAGATCTTATTTGACACTTTCATTTTATTGATGGGTAAGTTGAGGCTCCAAAAATTAATTTGCTTGGGAATTACACAATTTATTAATATCAGAACAAGTTCAAAGCACCCAGTTTCTAGTTTGGGCTTTTCATGCTACATCACCACAGTGCGACTGTAGAACATTCTACAACCACTGTTCTTTTACAGCAACAATGGCCAAGAATAACCAGAATGAAATCAGGTGGTGATGGCGCGATGGCACAATGTCATCCATCCATTAAGCATGAATCAACTGATGATCAACCTACATGGTGGCTGTTCAGTAAGTATTTGTTTGTTAGCTGTGATGTTCATGAACCCAGTCATTTTTCAACAAATATTTGTGTAACACTTGCAATGTGCCAGGCACTAGTGACATAGAAATGAACAAGTGAAAATCTCTGACTTTGAGAAGCTTCCATGATCTTGAGACAGTGATTTGCAACCACGTGGGGAACTACAGTTAAGCTTCCCCTAAGAAAGAAAGCCACCCTGGCTGGTGGGGCTCAGTGGATTGAGTGCGGTCTGCCAACCAAAAGGTTGCCAGTTTGATTCCCAGTCAGGGCACATGCCTGGGTTGTGGGCCAGGTCGCCAGTAGGGGGTGTGTGAGAGGCAACCACACACTGATGTTTCTCTCCCTTTAGTCCCCTCTCTAAAAATAATAAAATCTTAAAAAAAAAAGAAAGAAAGAAAAGAAAAAAAGAAAGAAAGGAAAAAAAGAAATTCCCAACTACTCCATGGCAAACAGTAAGAAAACTGGGAAATGATGGTGATGTGGTTTGTATGTGGACTTTCAAGTCTGTCGACTACTAAGTGGTATGGGTTCCAATTAATTTCAAGCAATGAAATTTGGCGAGAATCTCAAAATAAGTAGATTATGTTGTACAACTGAACTATCACTGGGAAAATGACATTTTTGTTTAGTATTCTTTTCTAGAGAGAATTGTATTTTCTGTGGTGTCAATTTCTAAATCTCATACTCTTAGCAAACATTATCATTATACTTTTATCTCAAGGATGTAAGAAATTCTTGTACTAATTACACATATTGCAATATCTTTTAAATTATTTTATAATTATTCTTAGGTTAATACTTTTGGTAATTAATGCAATTAATTATCAAAACTGTTGCTATTAGTTTATTGGTGGTGGGAAGAATGGTCCCCCTAATATGTTCACACACTAATCCATAGAATTTGTGAGTACGTTTTATTACATGGCAAAAGGAATGTTAGCTCAAGTTACAGAGGTTGACACAGAAGATTATTCCGAAAATAGCCAGGTGAGCCCAATCTAATCACCAGCTCTTAAAAGCAGAGTGCTTCCCATAGCTAGAGTCTGAGAGATGCGTAGGAGAAATCAGACAGATTAGAAGCTGAGGGACTTGACCTGCCACTGGTGGAGGGGATGCCATGGAATGTACAGGAAGGAAATGTTAGATGCCCCCAGGGCAAAAACACCAGCCCCCAGCTGACAGCCAGCAGGAAAACAGAGACCTGCATTCTACAACAACAAAAGTTGAATTTGGTTGACAGTGTGAATTATTCGGGAAGCCAACTCTTCCCCATAGCCTTTGGTTAAGAATATAGTCCAGCTGATACCATGATTTCAACTTTGTAAGATGCAAAGCACTGAAATTCTGACTTAAAGAAACTGTGATGCATTAAGAATGTGTGGTAAGAAAACAAAAACCATTTACTATTAGAACAAAAAAATAAGGTACCTACGAATAAATTTAACCAAGGAGGTAAAAGACCTGTACTCTAGAAAAAGACAGGACACTAAAGGAAGAAACTGAGAAAAATACAAAAACTGGAAGCATACATCATGTTCACAGATTGTAAGAATTAACATTATTAAAATAGTCATACTACCTGAAGCTACAGATTCAGTGCAATTTCTATTTAAACATCAATGAGATATTTCACAGATCTAGAACAAATATTTCAAAAACCTATATAGAACCAAAAGAGACCATGAATAGCTTCAGCAATCTTGAAAAAAACAAAGTTGGAGGATCACAATACCTAATATAAAACTGTATTATAAGGCTACTGTAATCAATAAATCTGTGGTTTTAGGCTGCTAAACTGGTGGCAGTTTTCTAGGGCAGCAATAGAAAACTAGTAATTATTTAAGATATACCCTTGAAAAAATTTAAAGCTTAATAAGAAAATAAATTATAGTTGACATAGTATATAGTTCAAGATCTGTGAAATATCTGTTGTAAGTACACAAAGCACGACAAGAAGGAATTAAAATTTTTATTTCTCTAAGACAGCATTTTCAGCGTGTATGCCACAGCACTCTGGTGTGCCATGAGAGTTTTTATAACATGCTGTACCTATTTAGTCAGGGCACAGACCTCTTTCCCCTGAGATAGTTTAAAAAAAAAAAGACAACCACCAACACAGTAGCCATCTAGTATGAATGAATCAAAATTATTCGGGGGGGGGGGGGGGAAGAGACTGGCAAAAAATACATATTTTTGGTGTGCTGAGGAATTTTAGTAATTAGTTTACGTGTGCCATAAAGGCTCATGTAAAGGTTGAAAGCCTTTACGTTGAAAGCTACTGCTCTAAGAAAAATCTCAAAAATGTAACCCAAACAATTTTGGTTCAATAAATTGACTACAGAAAAAAAATTTTTTTGCTTCTTTGCCTAGATTAAGAGAATGCCATGCTATATTACATGATTATCAAAATACAGTAGGGCCCTAGCTTGTGTGGCTGAGTGAACTGACCATCTACCTGTGAACTGAAGATTTGCTGGTTTGATTCCCAGTCAGGACACATTCCTGGGTTGTGGGCCAGGTCCCCAGTACGGGGCACACAAGAGGCAACTACATACTGATGTTTCTCTCTCCCCCTTTCTCCCTCCCTTCCCCTCTCTCTAAAAATAAATAAATAAAATCTTTAAAAAAGTTGTTACTGGAAACAAAGGAGAGTTATGATAAAAGAGATACTCCATTCAGGAGATATAATAATTATGAATATATATACATCAACAACAGAACCCCAAACTACAAGAGGCAAAACTGAAAGAACTGAAGGGAAACAGACAATTCTCTAATGTATTTATTCTTATCCTATATTCTCCATTTCAACTGGTAGTAGTTACTGCTAGTACCCAGTATGTCTTTTCTCTGGGTCTCATTAAAAATCCTGTAGACAGCAAGCTTTTGTTTTAGTAGGCAATCGACCACTTAGATTCAGGCTAAAAGTTATTATTATGCCTTCTTTGGGCAGTAGTTCTAATATTAATTCACTTTTAAGACTTTGTTTTACTGTTTGGGTCTGCTCAGCATATGCTGGGAATTAGGTGGTGGTTTACAATTCAGTTCTTAAGGCGTTGGCTATGGTTCTCTGGCTCTGTTCTGTGCTTGTGCAGCTCTTATTTTGTTATACACATGAAATGAGGGATCTTCTACAAATCTCTCCAAGATTTCCCTCATGCTTTCCAACCCCCAAATGTCCTGTTTCCTGGTTTCTCTGGCCAGACAACCTAAATTCCTAAGGCTCCCAGTACCACCAGGTATGGATTCCCCTTCAGAGAGGAAAACAATGGTGATTCCCCTCACAGTAGCTGTGAAAGAAGGCCCCCATTTCCTGGTTACGCTAGCCAGAAATGTGGGCATTTTTTCTCAGGTTGTTCGGTGCCTATGCAGTCGCTACCTCAGTGCAACCTACAAAGGGAGCTGACCTTAGAGCACAGGGCCCC